AAAAAATTATAGATTCAAGAAGTTCAGTGAATCCCAAGAAGGATAAATAAAAAGAAAACCAGAACTAGCCATATCAGAGTCAAACTTCTGAAAACTAAAGATAGAAAAGTCCTGAAAGCAGTTATAGAAAAACTTCCTATCACACAAAAATGATATGTTTTTTAACTTCTTATCAAAAACAATAGAGGCCACAGACAGTAAAATGACTTCATTAAATGCCAAAAGAAAAAATAATGGCCACACAAAATTCTATACCTGATAAAAATATCCTTCAAGAATGAAAGCAAAATAAAACATTTTTAGATGAACAAAAACTTAGAATAGGACTCTGGGAGGCCAAGGTGGGAGGATTGCTTGAGCTCAGGAGTTTGAGATCAGCCTGAGCAAGAGTGAGCTCAGGAGTTTGAGATCAGCCTGAGCAAGAGTGAGGCCCTGTCTCTACTAAAAATAAAAAAAAAGAAATTAGCCAGACAACTAAAAATAGAAAAAATTTGCCGGGTGTGGTGGTGTGCACCTGTAGTCCCAGCTACTTGGGAGACTAAGGCAGGAGGAGCACTTGTGCCCAGGAGTTTGAGGTTGCTGTGAGCTAGGCTGACACCACAGCACTCTACTCAGGGCAACTGAGTGAGGCCGTCTCAAAAAAAAAAAAAAAGTTCTTCCTTACACTGAACCAACGCTGGTTTCCATGCCCATCACATCATCTACCCCTTGGCCCTAATTCTGCTCTCCAGGGCAAGGCTTCGTGATGGGAAATGATGGCTTCAGGGGGTCTATGATACCTCTGAACATGCCCGCATCGAAATCACAACATGGTCTCTCAGTACAAAAGGGGGAAGAATTGATCCAGAGACTTCCCATTGTCTCAACATCCCAACAACCCTATCAAACAGTTCCAGGTGCTCTTCTCTCTTCTAGGGTACCCAACTCCAGTTCCTTCAACTATTCCTCACACACCATGGGAGCATGTGAAATCTAAGGGGACACCAGATAGTATGTATAGTGAGAGGAACAGCAGAGGCCAAAAGATATGATACTGGGTAAACCCCTATTTTGCAGCAGAAATTGAACCCAATGAGGGTACCAGAAGAGGCCCTAGTCCCATTCTATTACAAAGTAGCAATATAAACCCGAGTAACAATAATAATTTAACAAAAACACACACTCTCATGTATCTCTTACCACGTGCCAGGCATGGTTATACACACTTTACTTATTTGTTATAAACATTACATTTTTATAAGTGCTTTACTCACGTAATGGGGGTTCATGAAAGCTCTACTGACTCCTCCTAACCCAAACTAAGAATCATCCTTGAGTCAGTAAACACAGAAATATTAGTCAAAAAGTCTGATAACTGCATACCAGATCACTAGATGCCCCTTCAGAACTCTGGTGTTCTTCAAGCAGGATCAGGATGCGCCACTACCAAAAGAGAATATTGGTGGTCTTTCCATAATTAAAAAGAATTCAGTTAGTGAACAGAACAGTTTTAATTTTAAGCTTTCCTCCTATAAATGTACCT